AAAAAATGCTCGGTTCTATAGAAACAGACACGACTGTTCCAACTGACTTGTCTCCATAAAACCGACCCTGTCCTCTGGAGATGGCTAGTCTCCAGCCCCCCAAAGCGGAATGCAAAAGCTCATTTCCCCAAACAGGCATGGACCCCTCCTAGTAGACAGATGGATGAAAGGATCATTGACTGGATGACCTGTGTGGATCCCAAAAGAATCACCGGTGTGACTCCCACGGGGACTCAGAGTGGAAGTTTGCCTCAGTTGTGCATATGCAAGTGTATTTGTGGAGGGGCTGGTGCATTAGCCTAAGGATGCCTTAGGAAGCTCCGCTAGTAACCTGTGGAAGACTGGCGCAGTAGTGTGGTGTTCGGTATTTCTTGAATTGGTCCCAATCGTCAATATTCTCTCTTGCTGTCTCCATAGGTATATTCGTTGTTCTTGTCAGACAGCCCCGACCGCTTTCTCGGCACTCCTTTCGCAGATCCAGCGGTACTTGGTGTCACATAATGCAGCATCAAATGTCTTTGTTAGGCCTATGGTCACACAGTTGAAATTCTGCTGCTGATTGGTAACACTAAATGGGAGAAGATAGCGTGGTTAAGGCCCATCCTTTCAGCCCTGCCCTTTCCTGATTCCAGTCCCCCTCTTCTGTCCCCAAATCCAGCTCTCAACTGACCCTTTCCTGGCAACAGTCCCGTGAGCCTCTATGGACTGACAGTCTTAAGTTAATGCATTCTGTGTTTGGTCAGAAGTATCTCATGGGTCATCGTCCCCTTTTTCTCCTAGAAATAATGTTTTGGTACTGAGGGTACTATGTCAACAGCAGGAGGACCAAGAGGAGGACGGAAGAGACTTCTCTTCCTTTCCTGGGCACCAGCTGGCTCTAGGAAAAATTTCGTTGGCCTTCTCCCACCTTTTTCTATTATTCAGTCCCGTTCAGTTTGCCCAGAGTCTGGTTCCATGGAACGGTCAAGTGTTTTGGAGTTGAGTGGATGTGGGATCAAATTGTGGCTCAGTCATGGTGACATTCGATGTATTCCTAAGTCCTCATCCTCAATTCAACTGTCTGTTAAATGAGGATCAATAAAAGCTTTTTCTATAGCATCATTGTGAACACTGCAGGCGATGGCATGTGTGGAGTGCTTAGCAGATGCCTGGCATTTAGGAGACATTGAATATTAATTTCTTCCCTGTGGGAAGCCCAGTTCCAGGCTGGGGAGCTGACTTGCTTTCTGTCTGACTCAACATCTTCAGATGTACGCTGTCAATGTCATTTTATCCACAGTGCTATGTCCATGGAATGATACACAGGAGATAGCTCTTGGGAGTTAAAAGTCAAAGCTTTAAGGCATAGATATGTTGCTTATCATAACCTTTCTTTAGATAAAGAAGCCATATCTGGGGAACTTGTAAGAACTTGGTAATAAAATGTGATCTGTGGGTTAAAAGAGACTTATGAGATATATCCAACAAATGATATGCGTGTGGATTTGTTTGGATCCTAATCTGAACAAAATAATTTGTTGTATGAATACTCTTCTCTCTATTTAGAAATGTTTGGTGTGTCCCATAATATAAGATTTTCCAAAAGTGTGTCTCTGGGAATAGATGGGTTGAAAGAGAGGAAAGGAATAGGAAAAGGAGCCAGGTCTCAGCCTTTGTGCTACTTTAGGACAAATCCACTGAGTCTCAGGTCTCGTCTCCGAGGCAAACAAAGATCCCTAGAAAAATGTGGGATGGTCACGTACTTGCCATTGAAAATGGACTTGTCGATCCAACGCCACCTTTTCTCTGCATTCTGGTATAGTAAGCCAACAAAATACTTCTCGGCACCAGTTATGTGCTGGAGAAAATTCTAGAAATGAAAAAAACATAAACAAATCAATAGACACGTAAACACAGACAACTGTTTAGTGGTTACCAGAGGGTAAGGAGGGTTGAGGAGAGGTAGAGGAGGGCAAAGAAGGTCAAATATATGGTGATGGAAGGAGATTTGACTCTGGGTGGTGAACACACAATGCAGTGTATAGATGATGTATTATAGAATCGTACACTTGAAACCTATATAATTTTATTAACTAATGTTACCCCCCCAAATTTAATAAATACATAAAACAGTTCAATAGACAGTTCTGTGCTGTTGCCCCCTTGTGCCAATGGGCCCGTGATTATATCTGATTCTGGGAACAAGCAAGGCAGGTGGGGGACTCAGGCTGGCTATTGCCGGCACCCACCATAACCCCAGAGAAGTAATTCTCAATCTACACAGAACATCAGGATCACCTGGAGAGCTTGTTGAAAAGCAGACTGTTGGGCCTCTTGTTCAGTAGGTCTGCTGGAGGGGACCAAGAATTTATTGTACATTCCCAACAAATTCCCAGGTGACACTGATGCTGCTCTTCGGGGACCACACTTTGAAGGAGAAGGGGAAGGGTACCGTACCATCTAAAAGAGAGTAATTTCAATGTCTTTTTCCTTTTATTCCCTGATAGGAGTGTTCCCGTTGCCAGAAAATTTTGCATTCCAAATAGGGTTCGGTCAAGTGAATTCCTTGAGTACTTGGCTAGAGAAGACAGGGAGATTTAAAAGTATATTGCTAAAGCAGATAATTCTGCAAGAATAACCTGTGTTTAATGAGTATTTGCTAACTTGACACTAATTTAAGACATCTTAGTGAATAGCAAACCACTCCAGCCGGAAGCCTGGGGTTCCTGGGATCTTCTGTGCTCTTCACCCGCCTCCCATAATCAGCGGGTATCCGAGTCCCCTTGGATATTTTCTCTATTCCTGTGGCTTTTCTCTTTACTCCTCCTTTCCCAATGTTCTCCTTCCCTGAAATATCTAATTTGATTATTTTTTAAAATTAGTTACCAAATGTAGTCATTTAACACACATTTGAGTGTCTCTTAGGTGCCAGGCATTGTGCAAGGCTGGGGATATGGAAACACATTCATTTCTCCTAAAGAAATTACTATGTAAAACAGGGATTGCCAAGCTACAGCCAGAGGGCCAAACCCAGACTGTAGCTCATTTTTATAAATAAGGCGATCTATGAAGCTGTTAGCATTTTATTCAAAATACTGAGCTTATGTCATGCTTCTGGGAAGAGGGACATAGATTTCACCACCATTTCTAAAACGTTAATCATCCCAACACGTTGAAGTTCCACAGGCCTAGTAAGAGAAGATAGACAAGTGTGAGGTGTCCCAGGTGTAGTGCGAGGAAGTTCATGCTAGACCTGACACAGGCAGAAAGGAGGATGCCATCAATTCTGCATGGATTTGAGGTTTTCCAGAGAGAATACAGATGAGGCAATACTTGAGATGAATTTTGGGAGGTAGCTGTTTGTCAGGCACATGCTAGGCAAGGGTGTGGGTCAGGTTTGGACTTCCTGGAAGAGGGGGCATCAGGTCGCAGGCCGACTGCTGAGTGGCCTGGAGATTATAGGAACTACAAGATGCTCCGTATGGTGGTTGCAGAGGGAGAAGGGAGGTGAGTTGGGAGACAAAACTTGAGAGGCCAGACTATGTGTCACGCTCGGGAAATTGGACTTGAACCCACTTTCATTTGGAAAATGGTATGGACAGTTTAGAGCCTTAGAGAGGATCATAATCAGCTCTGTGGAGGATATGGAAGAGGGGGCACAACCAGAGCTAAAGAGAAGAGTTAGAAGAATTCTGAAGAAATCCAGGTGAGAGCTGAACTATTTGCTATGGGGATAGAGAGGAAAGGATTTGGCTAGCAACTAATTCAGGAGAGAAGAGAAAAGGTAAAATTCCAGAAGACTGTCTGCGTTTGATCTTGGGTGATGTGATTACTCACCAGGGTTTGGAATACAAAAGGAGGAGCAGTTGGGGTAAAGTACAATGGACTCAGTTTGAATATGGTGAGTGTGTGATGCTCTTGAAACGTCAAAGGGGAATTGGATAGAGGAGGCCAGCTGGAGATGCTGAGCTGGAGATACAGACCTGAGACTCATCAGCAAGCCATTGGTGCGATGAGCTTTTTCTGGGGTTAACTTTGAGCATGAACGCTGGAGAATGCCAAGGACGGCACTTGAGATGCACCGAAATTTAAGGGTTGAGTAGAGGAAAAAAGGCTATTGACTTTCTGTCCCAGTCCCCTCGTCTCTTCTCCTTTGTTCTTTTCTCCTCACTGTTTAGCTCCTGTTTTTTTTCCTGAAAGTATTTTTCCTTCCCACTGGGCCTTAGAGAACCTGTAGCATCCTGACCCCTGCTTTTTGTTGAACATCTATTGGGTTGTTGGAAAAGTCATGACATATTTTTTCTATGTTTTTCGTTGCAAAAATGCGTCATGACTTTTCTGACAACCCAATATTACCAAGAGTCACAGAAGACCCTCTTATAAGTTATTCTCAATCACAGGAGGACTTTTTAGAAGAAGGGTGAAGGGGTGGAGAGGAGAGAAACAAGATGACTGGATGTAGCTCATGTCTAGCATTTTGCAAAGGCTTAGGGTTTGAAGAAGAGGCAACCATAACCCAAAAAAATTATGGTCTCAAATTGATGAGAGTGTAACTTTTTGAGTTAGAGAGATCTCAGATCAAATCCATGTGCTGTCACTTAGTAAGTGTATGACCCTGGTCAGATTACTGTGCTCTAGTTTCCTTGCATATAAAATATGGATAATAACAATAACCTCAGAATTGTTATGAGTGTAATAGGAAGTAATGCAATAAAGCTATTTAGATAGTACTAGCTATTTTTATTTTAATAATTGTACACTGCAGTCCAAATTCTATGACCTGATCTTTCATTTTTTATATTACTCATTTTGTTAATTTGTATTTCCCTTATTTACAAGGCAGACTGGGATGATACCTTACCAACTCACCTCTATGAAGTATTCTGTAGTTCTTAAACAACTTTTCTACATCAGCTCATTTGCTCATTCCTGCACTTTAAATGTCCCAGCGCATCCATGGGATGCTAGCCTACTGCTGTGCCTCATGGGAGAAGCCATAGAGTGTGGATTTCACTAACTCACGTGGGCCTGAGGAACACACCCACTGCTAGTGAGAAGAGTCTCCCACTTTCAGATTCAGAACAAGGAGCTTGAGCTCTCAGCCATCCACCCTTCCACCCCTCCACTCCTCACCCCCACCTCTCCCCAGCTCCACCAATCCAGCTGCCCCACCATCTCCACCCACTGAGGCTGGTGTAGGCTGGACTGCTTTCCTGTACCCTTCTAATGCTCTCACCAGTTTCTCGGGAGTGTTGACAATGGCCAAAGTAGATGCTTCTGTTTCACAATAGTCCCTGCTCTGGTTCCAAGACATTTCAGAGGTGGAGAGGAAAAAACATCTTCCTTGATGAAAATCCCACCTTCTGGGGCAGACTAAGGCAATCCAAGAAAAGAGAGTATGAGATTAGTGGTTGTGGGTGTGAACCCTGGAGCTGAGTCATAAGATAATGGGACACGGATTTCTTTTCTTTCTTTTTCTTTTTAAATTGGGGAACTGGGGGAGGGGAACAGTGTTGGGGAATTGAGGAGGGGGACCAGCCAAGTTGTTGTTCTTCAATCTTAGTGGTGGAGGGTGCCAGTGGCCATCTGGTTGACCATTGGCAGCGCGTGGCCTCTAAACTCAAGGTGCTGTGTTACAATCTTAGTTGCGGGTGGGCGTAGCCACCATCCCATGTGGGAGTCGAACCGGCAGCCTTGTTGTTAAGAGCACATGCTCTATCCACTGAACCACCCAGGCGGCAGCTCAGCTCAAGGTGCCGAGTTCAGTCTTAGTTGCAGGCGGGCATAGCCTACCATCAAACAGGCAGTCTTGTTGTTAGGAGCACGTGCTCTCACCAGCTGAGCCGTCCTGCCACCTGTTGGCAGCTCAGCAACAGCTCAGCTCAGGCGCAGCGTCACTGGCCCATGTGGGAATTGAACCAGCAGTGCTGTTGCTCAGAGCTCGTGCTCTCTTAAGTTAACTCTTAACCAACTGAGCCACTCGGCCAGCCCAAGGGACACAGGTTTCTTTATAACAGTTATATCAATACAAATCATCCTCAATCCAGGAAGAAATTTCACCCCATCTAGTCACAGTTTCCCCATCTGTAACATGAAGGGAATGAATTAGAAGGTCTATATGGTTCCTTTGAGCAGAAAAGTTCCATAAGAAAGGGGACAATGGAAAAAGTCTATAAGAAATCAGTATAGAAGAACCTGGGATTGGAGAGGAGGTTATAACCATGCACTTTACCTGTCCCAGAGCTCTCCGTGGGCATGGCACTGACATAACCACTCCTGAAAGTTGGGGGGACTGAAATGGAAAGAACACCGGCAGGTAGGCATATGACGGACATAGCACACAAACATCAGAGCAGCTGTCCGACCCCTGCAACTATTTGTCTCTGGACGGTGGAGGTGACAAAGGGCTCTTGACAACTCTGTGCTAGAAGTTTTCAGATATTTTCTTTCTTTGAATCCTCCATCTCCTTACTACCATTATTTGTCATGTCCCACAATCCAAGTTCTAGTTCTAGTGTTTTTGTTTTTGTTGTTGTTGTTTTGTGTGTGGCAGTAGGTGTGAAATGCTGAGAGAAGAACAGGAGAAAGGAAGAGGAATGGATGAGTTAGTACCCGAAGGGAGACCTCACTCCTTTCCCATACACACCTCTGACAGTATTGTCCCCAAAGAGCTCTGTGGAGCGCTTCCCCTCCAGGCCCCACACAGCATCTTTGCCGCCCTCCCCAGTTCTGGTGCCTGGGACCCCATATGAAAACTCATGACCCTGGCAGGCAACTTTCAGACGCTTCTTTCACCAGCACCTATCAGCTCTAAGGATTGTGGCTAACTGGAGCAAGTGTCAGAACCAGGCTGTTGGTAGACAAGGAGGCAGGTGAATGTTCCACAGATTTCCTATGGACAGAGAAGAGGCAAATATTTTTTTAACTATCAATAGGGGAATTGATGGGCCTCTGAGAGGCCTCAGTTTCCCTGGGGACACTGGCTGTCTGAGCAGGCAGCTGCAGGGGCGTCAGAGGCGGTCCACTTTATCTTCAATGGCTCAATTATTTGTCCACCATGGTTGAAGACCAGTTTACCCAGACACCAAATTATTGCTACTTATATTAATAAAACATATAAGTTGGCATTCACTTTTCATTTCAGTCTCCAGTTCAAAGGTTCTTTGTGATATGCAATCACCTGGTTTTTAGCAGAAGCTGTTTTGGGATTATAACTGAACCGAATGCCATAAATGTTCTATGAGCATTTTCTCCATAGAGCTTGGTGTACCGGGTGCCTCCGTGGATACAAAGATGAACAAGAGATTGCCCTTCTCCTAAAGATGTACATAGTAATAGGTGCCTTAACAGGAAGTGAGAGGGAGATCCTTGGAAGAGCTTGAAGAGGAGGTGGGTTTAGTAGGCAGAGCCATGCTTCACTCTCTTACCCCCCATAGCTCTGGTATCGTGCCTTGTGCTTTATGGATCATGGTTGACTAATATTTCCAATTTTTGTACTTCCTGTATGGTTGGTCTGCCATAGTGCATGACACACAGAAGGTGCTGCATACAGTCTTTGGTTTTGTGTGTGTGTGTGTGTGTGTGTGTGTGTGTGTGTGGTGGGGCAGGGTGGTGGTGGTGGAATGGACTTCTTTATAGCAATTCCTTTAGGTGTACAACATATCAGAGTTTATAAAGTACTTTCAAATCACGTTACACTGATTCCATACAAATCAGCCTCCTACCCAGGAAGAAAACTAAGAAAGTTTACTCAGTGTAGTCTCAGTTTCCCATCTATAAAAGAAAGGAAACTAATTAGAAGGCTATTGTTTTTCCTGGCTGTGCTATATTTACTTTATTCTTTCCAGCTTTATTGAGATGTAATTGACATATAACAATGTGTAAGTTTAAGGTGTACAATGTGATGATTTGATACACGTATATATTGTGAAATGATTGCAGCAATAAGGTTAGTTAACACCTCCATCACATAGTTACATAGTTACATTTTGTGTGATGAGAACACTTATGATCTTACCCTCTTAGCAACTTTAAAGTATGTAATACAGTATTATTAACTATATAGTAACCGTGCTGTACATCAGATCCCCAGAAGCTATACATCTTATAAATGAACAGGTCTTTATGGACACTTCCAGCCAAAGAATGTCTTGGGAAAGAAGCCCTTGAGAAAGATCCTTAAGAATTTGGCACTAAGAACCTGGAGGGTGGACAGGACATTATTGTCATGCACATTACCTGTTCCGTTGCTCCCTATGGGGCTGAAGCTGTCATTACCTTTGCCAAAAATCTGTGGGACTGAAAAGAAAGTCAGCTGTTAGTTCATCCCTAAAGGCAGGATGAATAGAACAACCATCCCCACAGCGGCTGCTAGGTCACCATGATTACTATTGGGAAACACTGCACTCTCTGACTCAGGTCGGCGAAGAGTATGTATGTTTTTTGTGCATATGTTCACGTATTCATAGTCATATTTTCCTCCTGCCCTTTTATGTGATAGGAATTGCACCTTCGGGTTGGGTCATGAGGAAGACACCTCTTACCCAACTGCTGCCTCCTAATCACATTTCCTTCCTCATTTATTTTCCCTACTGGCTTCTGGGGCTGGAGAAGCTTCTACTTGCTGCAGTTGCAGTAAAATCCCTTGATATGAGGCCTTTTTTACTTTCTAAGCATTGGGATGAATACGTTTCTATGTTCATAGAGGGAAATCTCTACCTCCATAAAATCCCATTATCTTATAATGCAGCTCTTACTACAGCCTATCATCAGGATGAACTGGAGCTGTATTTTCAAATTTTAGCAACAATAACAAGTACTGCTGAGTATTTCAGCTCAGGTTTCCCAGCTAATACTCTAGGGCAAAAGCTTTGTGTGGGGTACAAAGCAGGGATTCCAAGGTAGACCCCGGGACCTAGCCCGTTGTGTGTGTGGGCGAGTGAGAAGGGCATTGTCAATTGCCCTCAGGTGGAGAGACCAGGGCACTTAACCTATACATTTAACCTCACATTCTGAGAAAAGGGTTAAAGAACAAGACAATATGGGGTAAGGGCAAGAGGTTGCTCAAATACTCACAATAAAGCAGAAATAAGGTCGTTCCGACAATTTTAAGCACCACTACGATAAGCCCAGAGATGATCATGTGCCAGTTCATGATGAAGGAGATGAGGAGGCCTGTGGGGATTAGAACACAGCACCGCCATCAGTGTCTGGGGCAAGCCTTCATCCCACCAGGGTACATGCCCACGTCCTTCTCAGAGCACCTTGGGGGGCTTGGAAGGCAGGCGTGCCATTGGCAGGGACAAGGAGGGCACGGCCCCGAGGATGGATAGGATCTTGTGCTGGTTGGGAGCCCTTGAACTCGGCATGTTGCCTCTTCTTCACCCACCCCTTAGCCCTAGCCTCAGCCCTGGCCTGGTTTGTGGCCTCCTAAAGCCCATCTATTGAAATAAATCCTCTCCTAGACTTTGCGAACAATTAGCTTTGAAATGATTCTTGCTTTCTAGGGCCTTAGTTTGTAGTCTTGGCCATACTGACGTCAGCTCTCAGAAGCCTCAGTCTTTTATTTTATTTTATTATTATTATTTATTATTGTTAGTTTCAGGTGTACAAAACAATGTAATAGTTACACATTTCACTCCTCACAAGTGATAACCCTCCTCCCCCAACCTATCGCCCCCCTGACATCGTATATATCTATTACAATTCCATTGACTATTCCCTATATTATACTCCACGTCCTGTGACCATATATATATATATATATGATATATATATATATATATTCAATTATAGTTGACATACAATAGTATACAACATCAGCTTCAGGTGTACAGTGCAGTGATCAAGCCTCTACACCGTCCATGAAGTGGTCTCCCTAACAAGACATGTGCCCATCTGATACCCTACAAAATATTTACAAATTATTAATTATATTCCCCAAACTGTCTTTCATGTCCCTGTGGCAATCTTGCAGTTACCAATTTATGCTGTCTAATCCCTTCCCCTTCTCCCTCATCCTCACCCCCCTCCCATCTAGCAACCCTCAGTTTTTCCTCTGTGTCTCTGAGACTATTTCTGTTTACTTTGCTCGTTTATTCAGTTCTTTAGAAGCCTCAGTTTTTAAAAGACTAGGTCAGGAAGTCTGACAGGCAGGGCCGATGTGCTAAGGTCTTCGCGTTGGTGAAAAGCCGATAATCTGTGCAGAGAGGACAGACACATGGACTTACCTGCCCTCTCCCTGGAAGGCTTGGCTGGTTTGTAGGTGGGGACCTTCCCGGGAGTCTAATGCCTGCGAGGTGGGCAGAGACTCCTTCTCCCGAGAATACGCTCTTCTGCTATGGCGACATCCTTCCTTGTTCACACAGCCTCTGTCTTGGTCACCTCCGTGGGCAAACACTTCTTCCTGTTGAGCGTTCTTGGCAAAGGGAGCGGGTGGAGCCGGGAGGGGAAGAGATGTCCCAGCCTCTGCAAGAGGCAGCTTCCTGCAGGAGAACATTATTTGGAGAATTCGGAAAACAAAACACCCCGGGCCGGCCGAGTGGCGCGATGGTTAAGAGCTGGCTTGGGACACCAGCTCTGAGCAGCAGGGCCCCGGTTCGGATCCCACATATGAGGGCCAGTGACACTGCCCTCTCCAAAAACAAACAAACAAACAAACAAAAAACCTCAACACAGACTCCCTTTCTCTCTGTGACCAAATCTCCTTGAAATACAGTGGAAAGAAAATGCAGTCGAATCTTCACAGGTGGGAACTCTGGGGAAAGGGCGTCTGGAAATGATTTGTACTTTCTTTGCAACGTTTCTGCAAATCGAAACGTATGTAAAAATAAATGTTTTACGTCAAGAAATCCACCTGAAGTCACTTACATTAGTGAGCAGGCCCTTACATGTCACATGCGCCCCACTCACTGTCACACAGCTCTGCTCAGTGCCCTTGGTCGTGGACTTCTCCTTTCTTGCCCCAGCTGCCAGCCTTCCAGACTGTGTGCAGTGTGAGGATGGTGACTGTTCGTTACTTTTCAAGCGTGGTTCTCTGCTGGATGCAGGGGGTGGAGTGAGGGTGAGCAATCCTCAAGTCTTATTACCAAGGAGGTTTTTTTTTGCGTATTAAATTTGAAGTTTTCCTTTGATTATATGTTTTCTCCTATAAAAGCTACTTGTATTCATTAGAGAATATGGGTGAGGAAAATTGAAAAATTAAAAAAACCCATTTAAGTTCAAACATTTAATCATAGTCATTATTAACACCTCTGGGTGGGGTGCGTATTCTTTCTAGGTGAGTAGGTAGGTAGAAAGGATATTGATTCATTTAGAAAAATGGAATCATATTGTATATATTGTTTTGTAGTCTATGCACTGTAGATTAAGCTAACATTGTATACAGATATCTTTCTATGTCAAAATGTAGATTTTAATAATGTATTATTTAATACCTGTCTAGTATCCAGGTGTAAATGTATATGATTTTTTTTTTTTTTAACAATTAGAGAACTGTGATTCTTTTAGTAGAGTGCAGTGGATACGAACAAAAGTTTTAAGTTAGTCCTGGGCTTGATTCCTGGCTCTGCCATTTATAGCTGGATGTCCTTGACTAAGTTAATCTCTTTAGGTTTCCATTTCTTCATCTATAAATAGGAGTAATTATAGTACATACCATATTGTGATAATGAGCAAGATAATGCTTATAATTTTATTAGCATGCTACCTGGCACCTTGACTACAAGTTCTGACTATTCTAGCTATTTTCTCACACGCCTATTGTGCAGTGAACACCCCCCTGCCCAGCAGAAGCATCTTTGTACACACCCTAAATCATTTCCTTAGCTAAATGCTCAGAAATTTAAAAAAAAATTCTGATCAAACCTGATTTTCTCTGGTCACAGCTTAATTACATGCAGACCCTGGGTTGCTGTCCAGCATTCCACGTAGCTATTGGGCACCAGTTATGCTCACTGTGTCACTATGTTAGGAACTGCGGAATTCAGAAACTTGGTTGTTATTATTTAGGAGCTTTTCGAATAACAGGAGAGAAAATGGCAGCAACAGTGCCGACTCAGTGGACTGACCAGACTTTGTGACCGTGGGAACTATGCCTGACCTATTTGGATTGATAAGAGACCGTGGGTGTCCTGGAAGGGGATCTGAGAAAGGAAACCTAGAAGAAGAAAAAGGGGCATCTTATGATTTATTGATTAGAGTTTCAGGGCGGTATCAATATGAATATTTATAAAAATGACTTTATTTTGTATCTCAATCACACCAAGACTAATACTGTCTCTTGAGTCTTATTATATCATATAACACACACACACACAGTGTATGTATTTCCTTAAATCTATGTTGCAGGTTAATTCAGACTAGATAATTCAGACTCATCCTTTGAGTCTCAGCTTACATGTCATTTCTTCCAAGAAAATGTTCCTTCCCTGCCCTGAGGTGCCACACCCTTGTCTATTGTCTCATGATGTCATGTCCTTTTCCCTTGAAGGCACTGACTGTGTGACAGTGCACTTGCTTGCTTCCCCTGCCAACCTCTGAAGTCCTGAGGGCAGGCAAAGTCTGTTGTCACCGTTCTGTAGCCCAGCACCACCCTGGGGCTTGGCCACTGCAGCATGGCAGCAGGCTTCTAGGCCTGTGAGTTTTATAATTTATTTGCAAGGGGGTAGTAGGGCCTATAAATATTTCTAATCAATTAAAAATGTATGTGATATTCTTTATATTAACAAATTCACCGTTATCATTTTTTTCTATTTACTTTTCTTTTTATTAATTAAAGATTTATTGGGGTGACAATTGTTAGTAAAGTTACATAGGTTTCGGGTGTACAATTCTGTAATACATCATCTATTGCAGCGGTTCTCAACCTTTCACAGGGGTTGCCTAAGACCATTGGAAAACACATATTTTCGATGGTCTTAGGAACTGAGACACTGCTCCTCTATCCGTCTCCAGGCCCACATGCAGATACACCCACATACAAGTACCCGGCGACCCCTGTGAAAGGGTCCTTAGACCCCCAAAGGGGTCACGACCCACAGGTTGAGAACCACTGATCTATTGTATATATCGCCTTGTGTGTTCACCACCCAGAGTCAGTTCTCCTTCCATCACCATATATTTGATCCCTTTTACACTGTCATGGTTTTCAATAAGGATAATTTAAATGCTAGACCATCTCTGAAGGCATTGATTCCTCATGAGAAAACTTCACATCTTAAAATAACCACCGTGGAGAACAGATTGTGACTCCAGTACTTCAATGACAACTAACCACCCCTCAGTTTGTATTCATACACATGTTACTAATGCTATGTTATTTTAAAGTAAATTGCCATTCAGACTGTGTGACAACCCAGAATTCATAGAGTGCACAGAATAAGCCTGTTTCGAGAGGCACTAAAGGACCCCCTAGTAGAACTCGGTGACATGTAACCTAGCCTGAAGAGCCAGGGCCTGGAGGTGACGGGCAGCTGCGGGCCAGGAGAGAGTGAGCCTATGGGAGGCTTCAGGTTCTGGGGCCTCCCAGGAGAAGAGACCCCAAGGAAACACTCACGTTTGCCTTCCCCTTTGTGCAGCAACTTACTGAAGCATTAGACATCATGCTTCAGAGGACAGTCATTCAGCTAAATAATGAGGACGTTCCTCCATCTCTGTCAAGCTGCCCCAGCACCAGGCGAAAGAAACACTGTGCTTAGCAGTCAGACTTCTTGCTCAGGCTGTCTCTAGCCTGGCAAAACAGAACCAGAGAGAAACAAACTTCCCCCATCTTCCTTCATCAAGTCCTGTAGGACTTGACCCTTCCAGTATCTATCAGATCTCATCACAATTTTAAATTATTAAAATGGTATCCATGATATTTACAACATCAGGAAATGACCCATGTCTCTGTGCTAAGAAAAACTTTATTTCACTGTAGAAAAGTCAAATTCATAGGCATGACTAAATTCTGTGATCGTATGTGTTAAAGTCAGACTTGTTATTCCAAAACCACTGTGGCAACATTTCACAGTAGCAAGGAACGGAAGTAAGTCTGTGCATTGCATCATTTATCGGAAAACGCACTGTGTGAAGATATCCTTGGATGTGGCAATTGAAACTGTATAACAGACATGTTCAAAAGTCTGGAACCACAGAAAAGCCAGGGCTTTGCATGATGAATTGCATTCACAATACAATAGTTTGTGGTACTCCATGCTTTAGACATGAACAAAAGGAACGCGCACACACAGCGTCAGTCCCAAGTGTTTCAACTGGAGACTGGTTATTGAAATGATTAGTAGGCTCCCTAGGTGAGGTGATGTTTGAGTGCCTAAAAGGCTCCTCCACAGGTAAGTGAAATGGTTATACCTTCTCTTGTGTTTTCTCATGGACTTATTGGTCCAATTTATGGATTTTGTACCACCCCGTTACACTGTAGAGGTTTTGGTTGCAAGTGTAAGAACATCAGTTCAAACAAATATAGGCAAAAGTGGTATGCACTGGCTCATGGACTATGATGAGGGGTTTTACAATGAAACCAAAGCTGGACAAGAATGTAGCTGGACGTCTGGAACATCAGAAGCCAAAGGAAACCAGGTTTTGCTATAACTACCTCTTGTCTCCGATCATTTGTTTGTAAGAGGAAATAGGAAACATAGCCACGAGAAGCTTCTAGATTTTACGTCTGACACATTTTTTGTTTTTTTTTTGTTTTTGGATTAAGTTAGAAAAATCCCAAGGCAGATTTTTATGGGTTTGGAATGGACCCATCAAATACGGCCAAGGGCAGGATCACGGTAAACATTTTAGTTGGAGCACAAGGAGGAGCAGTTACCTGAAGGTGGAGGTGGTTGTTTTCAGAAGAAAGACCGTACTGGGAAGGGAAAAAAAAAATCTCACCCATTCCAGCCATCCTCACTACTTGCCTGCTTGTTCCTCCCAGAACTATGGCCTCCAGCCTTGTCAACATATTCCCTCTACCTTTTTAACCCAAATCCAAATGTACGTTTTTGGTTCTAGCTTCTCTCTCTCTCTCTCTCTCTCTCTCTCTCTCTCTCTTTTTAAGCTTCTCTTTTGATGACCACAAATCTATTTCTAGTTCCATCTTCTAATGTGAATTTTGGTTCTTCATTTTCAAGACTTGATTAGTGTTTTCCAACTACATGACAGAATGTCTACCCAGTTTTATTAAGTTCCAAACCACATTTACTGTTTTCACCAAACTCAATCCAACTTCCTTTCTCAACTTCTTTATTTTTGGTAGTGATTGTATCATATCACAGCCCATCCACACCCTGAAAACCTCCTTAATTCTCCCTCCTCTGTCAACCACCATATCAACACACTAGTTGATGTTTTTCAAAAGCTCTCTTATACCTTCCCCATTCCCTCTATCTCATCGTAGTACAAGTCTCTCATTGCAGTTGGAATGCAAATGGCTCAAACCCTTTG